GGTGTATGTGTGTGTGTGTTTGAGCCACAAGTGTTGTCAGCATCTTATACATTATATATAAGACATGCATAAAAATGTTTAGACAATAATATAAAAATGGGAATAAGTTCTAATTTATTTCCCTACTCTGGATTTTGCCCTGCATTGCACTGTTGCCTGCCACTGAGCTAGCATAGGTTGAATTTTTACCCTTTTATTCATTTACTTTGCCTACATTGATTCCAGTGGAGGTGTGTATTATTGCTTTTTAAACAATACCTTACATTGTTTCAATTTGTCCTCAAAGTATCTTTGTTGACAGTTTTTCTCAGATTCTTGAAGTGGAATTAACAACCTGCAAGTTCTTAACAAAATTGAAATATGGTGGGGTTTCCAAGAGCTGGCGAGAAATTAAATGAAAAGATGGTGGAATTTTCCTGTGAACTTTTTGGCACCCCCTTGTATGGTATACTCTTGTTTGGGGCGGGGGTGGGGGCAGTGGTGGTGCTATTACACCCACTTGGTAGACAAAATTTCCTAGTTCAAGAAGGATTCACGTTCCATGAGGCAGCCCCATTTCAGGATAACCCTAAAGCAGAGGAACTTTTTCTTTTTTAGAGGAAAGAGATTGTTGGCCTTCTCCTTGCCAGCTACTATCTTAGTAACTATTAGAGCCACTTAATAGATGTAGTCCTTCTACAGATGTAGAAACCGACCTTTGGAAAGGTAACATACTCAATGTTAGATCAATCCGTTTGGCATCAAAAATAAAAGTTCTATATTGTGAGGTTTATGAAAGTTTTGTCAAGTTTTGGGGTGGCAGGTTGAGTTGGGATACTTCATTTCTAGTATGGCACTGTTACTGTTCTAAGATAGTTTTCATTTGGCCAAAATTTTACTATCATTTCTTTGTTTAGAAAACTAATATCTGTCGATAGTAGCTTTAAATATTAAAATATTGTAGCTTCTCTCAGGCTTTAAAGATAGTTGCTAATAGTTTGTACAGGTGTATAGTGCCCACCATCCATTTCCCAGCTGATTTTTGTTTTTTCTTTATTTGTTTTTTAAAGAAAAGCAGCTCTCTCCTCTTGTTTATGACTTCTCCCTAGTGGTTTTAACACCCCCAGGC